AGATCTCAAATTAACCCGTGCCAAGTTACCGGCATCCAAACCCGCTTGGTTTGGGTTGTGTTTTGGGGGGGGAGGGGGTGTTACTTGCGTCCAAAACAATAGTTTGATATCAAGGTATTTTGGAAGAGGTCTGTGGTCTACCTTTATATGCTCTATGTTTCACGTGACTTAAAGTTAAAAAGAGGATTATATCTTAACCTAGCCTAATATACCTTAATCTTAACTTAAAGGCACTTGGGAAGATGCTTACGCGAAGCATACATCAACCACCAAACGGACGAGTAGTTACTTACTATATAGCGCTAGTACGTTTATAGTTCAATAAATGACGGTGTCACTTCTAGGTGTCTGGGAGCCACCTGTGCAGCCGGTACAGAACATCAGGTTCTTTGCCAGAGGAAAAAAAAGAGTTTCTGCAAAATGGACCAGGCTTACAAGACTTTGTATCGGGAGATTTGTCGGACAAGAGCGCGTGGGCTGAGTATAAAGGCAATTTAAAGCGCCAGAAAGGAGAAAGGTAATTGTGATTGTAGACACCTGTAGTTGCATCCACGCACTGTCTTGCCCGTTTAGTGTTAACTACAAAATGTGTACCATGTATTTTTATTAAATTCTGTCATACTGGCTTGCCAATTTCATAATTTTTCGACAAAGAACAAAACCAGTATTCGCTTGTTAATATGTGTAACAAAACATGAAGATGCGGTGGTATTTTCTCACTTGATTGCCTGCGCCATGGTCTGTATTAAATTACAAATATACATCCATAAGTGGGTCTACCCTACTTTGGTGTTGAAAAAATATTATTAATAGACAGAGTAAAACACCATATTTCCAGTTATAAATTTGATCAGACTTTGTGATAGCTGTGTAACATACGCTGCCATTAACTGTTGCAGTCTCCGGTGTGGCGCTGTTAAATCCCACCGGTATCATTAACAGTTTTAAACTTTCCGGTGACAACAAACTCCTACTCTCGAATGTTGGGATGATGATGGACGTGGAAGAGAGAAGTCCATTATGACCATGAATGATGTTAATATTGGTTGCTGAGTTGCATGGGTTTTCAAGGAACCTTTCCTAGTTAGGATCTGTGACATTAATCAAAGCTTACCATGTAAATAATTTATTAATCTTTATGTTTGCTTGATCAGGCTGCACCTTCCTCCGTGGCTGAAAACAAAGATTCCTATCGGAAAGAACTACAATAAACTAAAGAATACCTTGAGAAGTTTAAATCTTCATACGGTAACTCTAGTACCAACCAGGTTTTCCTGTAGAAATAAGGCATTTTTTTATGGGTACAAAATTATTTCTCTGTGGAGGACAGGTAGAAATAATGTCTTGCGTGATCTTCAATGCTCAAACTGAGCCCAGTGCTGATCCTTTTTGCCAGCAGTGAATTTTATCCATAAAGAATGAAGACAAACCCAACAGAGCATTTCACGCTTTTCCTGCTGTGATTTTAAATACTAGGGTTTACTACTTGCATCACCAAGGAGACCAGAAGATGCTATGTGTGACTTATTAATGGAAACACACACAATTTCAGAGTTACATACATGTTTTGCATTAAAACAAATTCTAGAAATATATGTATTTCATTAAATACACCTTCCAGATGGTAAAAAGTGGTGGGTATGCATGGAGAGCTTTTTTTCCCTTTATTTTCAGAGTAAGATCATGCTTTGATGCATCATAGACTTTGTGAACATTTTACCAATTTTTAAATTTAAAATGTTAATGATAATCTGTGATAATTAATAAGGCAGTTACGTGGTTGAGGAGTTTTTGGAGTTGTGAAGTACAGGGAAAGAATGATAATGGATGTCAGGAAACAATTCTTCTCTTCCTAGCTATTCTACTGACTTCTTACAGAACATGTAACTTTGTAACTCCTCTCTTATCACAGGGGGAATTGTGTTTTCTTTGTAGGCTACTACAGAAATTGGTCAATAATAGAATAATAATTTTCAATTAAAAATTTAAAAAAAAAAAAAGACCGGGACATTACTGTCTTTTAACTCCAGGTCTGTGAAGAAGCACGTTGTCCCAACATTGGAGAATGCTGGGGAGGTGGTGAATATGCTACAGCTACAGCTACTATTATGGTAAGCCATTAACCGTTTCTGAAGTAGTCTATTAATGTTTGAGCTGTCTGTAGTGGATTGTTGGATCTCTACTGTAATGGTGTGGGTTTATTACAAGAAATTTAGAGTAAATCACTGTCCTCATCGTTTTGCGGAGTACTGGGATTTGTCTGATCTGGCTCATGCAGCTGTTTCTCAGGTGAGCAACAGTGATGTGTATGGTACAAAGGTGGGAATGTCTCTCTTCTTGCAGCTGATGGGGGACACGTGCACGAGAGGTTGCAGATTTTGTTCAGTAAAGACAGCAAAAAATCCACCTCCGCTGGATCCCAAGGAGCCGTACAACACAGCAAAGGCTATAGCCGAGTGGGGCTTGGATTACGTTGTGTTGACGTCTGTGGACAGAGACGGTTAGTATGTTCTCTCATCTCCAGTCTGAGCTCTCATATGCCTTACGTGGGGTAAGCACAGACCTTGGTAAACATTTATCGCTCAGCACAATTGTCGAGGGTTACTGTTTTAAAGGATTGGACAGCACTGAAACTTTGGAAAGATTCTACATACTCTTAGTATTTCTCCATGTCTGGTAAAATATAATAGAAGTTACGCTGTTATTAAACATCAAGAATATTAAAATGCTAAATATAACTATTTTTTTGCAAAATTACTAGAAATACACCATGTTCTATTACTTGACTGGCAAAAAACTCCCACAAACATTCATATACAATACCGTTACAGAACTTCCTTCCAAAAACCAAACCTGGAATACGTTATATGTAACAGAACCGAAAGTTGCCTTTTTCTGAGGTTGTAGTAGCTCCTTTGTGATGACACCACATAGGTGGAGAAAATCATTGTAAAGGCTGTTCAGAATACTTTGGTGGAAAGTCCAGGTAGCTTCAAAGTGGCTTACAATAAAAGAGCAATAATATATGTGTATATATATATATATGTCAGGTTTTGTAGAACTGCTTCTCAGACCAAAACCATAAATAGATAAAGCCATTCTGTGCTCAGGCTGACAGTGTACCTAGAGACCGGTCAATTCAGACTAAACAGCTGAAGTCTGCCCTAGATGATCCCAGTTAGACTTTGTGCAGAGCACGGCTTGGCAGAAATCTGTTATAAACCTTTGGCATAAGCGGTAAGACCAGGGTTTGACTGCTTTATTAGTTTGCATTTCAGTTTGACTCTGTAGGGTTTTTGTGGCTTTGCTAATAAGTAAATAAATTTCTTGAACGGAAAAGTTAACTGAATAATTGAAATGCTTCTAGATATGCCTGACGGTGGAGCAGAACACTTTGCAAAGACAGTCTGTCATCTGAAAGAAAGGTATATCTTTAATGTATGACTTAGTACTAAAACGTTAGAATGTGGTACTACATGTAGGTCAAAACTACCTTTAGCTGGATTATTCCAGGGGTCACGCAAATACAAAAGTCTGCCTTTAGCCTATCTATGTCCTTTTTTTTTTTTTTTTTCCCTGTTTTTCATCTTTCTCATATAATGCCCCCAAAGTATTTTGGATTTGGATGCATTTCCAATTTAGCCCAGGCTTATTTCAAGCTAAGCACTGGATTATTTCTTTGACGGTGCAGCTGGTTTACCAGGAAATGAGTACATACTTTTGAGGTATGTTCATTCTTGAACCTTGGAGCTGAAACACTGGATTTAGAGAACAGTGCACCACATTACAAAAGAAGTTGGGTTTCTTGAAAGAGAAAAGCAGTGATCAGATTGCTTTATGTTTTCCCACAATGGCTGCTTCTATGCCTGTGGTCATACCTTCCTACTTTCCCTAGCTGTGCCTTCCTCCCTCTCTGCACCGGTGCCCTGTATGCCATTTGACAGCATACTTGTCTACCCGCAGATTTAATTCGTATAACCTCATTTAAGGCTTTATCCAGGGTATCGTGGGGCTCAAAAGGCTCCTGTAGTTTTCCGCACCTGCCTTTCTGAGCTGAATTCTGGCTCCTGGACACCAAGACGAGAGTCCAGGGCAATAATGTAGGGTCTTCATATCCCAGCAGGCAGGATTGTAGCTCCTCTGTGTTTTGGTTATTAAACTCATGTCAAGTTAACCTGCAACAAAGACATGTGAAAAATCGCGTATAAACAGTGAATGTGATTAAGAGACTGCTGGAATTGCTTTTTACTATTTGGCCTTCATGCTGTTTCAGCTCACATCAGTAAAATCAGGAATTAAACACAGGCTGTCGTTTGAATTGTAATCCAAGTATTTACAAAAATCAGTTGTTTTAGAAGCGTATCCTGAATTAACTTTCCTTTGCTTATTTATTGAGTTACGTTTGGGGTTTTTTTGCTACATTGAGTTTTCAGCAACAGTGACACAAACCCCACAGATGCGCTCATTTTCCATCTCTCCTTTTCAGGAATTCAAAAATTCTGGTCGAATGCTTAACGCCCGATTTTCGAGGGGACCTGAAAGCTGTGGAGAAAGTAGCCTTGTCGGGGCTGGACGTGTACGCCCACAACGTGGAGACGGTGCCCGAATTACAGAGGTGAGCAGCGGCAGTATGGGGGAAGCATGAGCGGGCACGGGCTTTTCTGAAGGGACTTCGGGTGCAAGGGGCAGCCGGGGACACTTGCTCAGACCCGCGGGGACGCTCTCGCCGGCCGCG